AAATAATACACTGCATATATTCTTCTTAGTGGTTAATTGCTGTACAAGATGCGGACTTGTGATCCTATTTACAAACACCATTAGAACAAATCATTCTAAACCTTGACATTTGTTTTGGTTCTTATCTAACTCAGTTTGTGACCAGAATTATGGAAAGAATCAAGTTCATGAACTGAAGTAATACTGTATAGAAGAGTGTATCTTTTTTTTTTTTTTTTTTTTTTGTGGAACCGGGGATTGAACTCACACCCTTGTGCTTGCCAGGCAGGCACTTATTCTGCTGCACTATCTCCCTGGCCCCAGTGTGTATCTTGTTAGCCATGTATGTCTGTTTCTTTGATACATAACATTTTGGTGAAAAGTCTGTATCATTCAATCATTTTTAAGTTGGTTACTTGTGTTTTTATTTTTGAGTTCTTTATATATTCTCCATATAATTTCCTTATCAGATATATGACTTATAAATACTTTCTTCCATATCATGTGTTGCATTTTCACTTATTGTTGGTGTGCTTTGGAGCATTACAAAGCTTATTTTTTTGAATTTTAGGGAAAGATCTACAGGGTATTCAGGGTCTCACTACTAGATTGGACTTGTAGTGATCCACCTGTTTACAGCCTCCCAAGAACTGGGATTACAGGCGCGCGCCACCACAACCCAGTCTCAATCGCTGTTTCCGTGCGCTCTGGGGGTGGGGATGGCACAGCAGGCCGGGGATCGAACCCCAGCCCCTACGCCTATTTGCAGGCGCTTTCATCTGCTGAGCTATTTGGCTAGCCCTATAACAAAGCTTTAGTCCAGCTTATCTGTTTTGTTTTTCTTTTGTTGCTCTGGTTATTGTTATGTGTGTTTTGGTGTCATTTTATTTAATATATGCAAAATTTATTTTTAATATACACATTTAGAAAGCCATAATGTTAACTACATTGTAAAAAAGAACTTGAGATTAATATTTCCCATCATGTCAGTTTCAAGGCAAGAATTCTTTGATAAAATCCAGTATTAATTTATTTCAGCGCACACCTCTGTAGATGTTCTTTTTTTAGGTTGTTGTCATTTTTAAAGCTTTTCTTTTTTTTTTTATCTTTTATTGATTTGCTACAGAGTCTCATTACATAACTTGGACTTGCAGTAATCCTCCTGTCTTAGCCTCCCCAGCACTGGCCTGTGCCACCATGCCCGATCTCAGTATCAGCTCAGCGTGCAGCCAGTGAGGCACATGGTACCAGGGACTGAACCCAGGTCCTTGCATATTTGCCAGGCAGCCACTTAGATGGCTGAGCTGTCTCCGCAGCCCCGTCATTATTTTTAAAACATTGCCTAATTCAGTATCAGAGCTGTAGTGTTTCATGAGGTTAGCGTTTACATGTTGGTCTCTGGGCCATTTTGAGTTAATTTTTATATGTGGCTTACGGGCCCAGCATCATTGTTGCGCACAGCACTGTCCAGTGCTTAGGACCTGAGTGGGCTTTTGTTGGTTCTCCTTTTAGGCCCCGTCCCAGTGTCTTCCAGGACAGTGGCAGTGGAGTGTTCCTCAGGTAAATACTAACAATCACTGTCTAATTTAAATATATAAAATCTGTAGATTTTACTCTCCTGAAGATTGTGTAGAGACTGAAGTCAGGACAGAGCCCTTTAAGGCCTCCCTCTTTGTTTACTGTGACTCCTTTAACAGTTCAGATGATCACTATATTTTCAGTTCATTTGCAAAGTGGAAGTAATGATACTACACTTTTGTAAGGTTCCTTTTACGATATTTGCCAAGATAAATGAGATATGTAAGGGAAAGCATTTAATAAGCAAGTGAGCGCTGTATAAATATAAACTATTATTTCTTTTTACTGTTGGTATTATTGAAAATCTTAGCATTTGTCTAGTTTCACTTTTGATTCTGCTTGTTCTATTTAGCCTCCTAAATTAGTGTATGTTTAATATATTTAACTTAAATTCTTGGGAGCAAAATTATTACATACTTTTGAGGGTTTTCTGGATTTTGAAATATTTAAATGAGCATTATTAATTGAACATCACTAATCTCAAATCCAGAATGACCTAAAATCTGAAACTTAAGAGATGTTGAAACTGTATTGTTTTCCGACTTTTAGAACAAGTAATATACCACCCAAATTGTTTAGCAGCAGTTCCCACTTCTGTGGGGAGTCGCAAAGCTGAGTGAGCACACCAGTGTAAGCATCATGGATTGTAGTATTACAGCCTTTAATGGTGATATCAGTAGAACACCA